ATACTTTTATAAATTACCGCTCATTACCTTCTTTCCTTTGAGCCAAGCACCAGAATGACTTCCTCAACACAGCCATCGATAAAGCTGCCCTTACGAGAGGCATGAGGAACTTCTTCTGCGGTCGACTGACTAGTACATCACCTCCACTCTTTCTGCAATTTTAAATTCCTGGAGTATAGGTGATCCGTGGATGAGTATCAACATTCATAAACTACTTTTACCAAGTGACCTGCAGCAACANGCCATCGATAAAGCTGCCCTTACGAGAGGCATGAGGAACTTCTTCTGCGGTCGACTGACTAGTACATCACCTCCACTCTTTCTGCCATTTTAAATTCCTGGAGTATAGGTGATCCGTGGATGAGTATCAACTTTCATAAACTACTTTTNCACTCTTTCTGCAATTTTAAATTCCTGGAGTATAGGTGATCCGTGGATGAGTATCAACATTCATAAACTACTTTTACCAAGTGACCTGCAGCAACAATTGTTCTCTTACCTACAATCTCAGTGGCTGTCCGTGGATATTCATAAAATAAAAAACAAACTTACAAAAGTTCAAGGGTGGCGTGCATGATGATCACTCTCAACGGCGACTAAAGCTCTAGAAGCTAGACCTAATTTTCTGCCTGTGGACCTATATGATAAACCACAGGCGATTTGTAATGCTTTCGGACTAAACGCGCTGATTAAGTGTAGTGATATGTGTTTCGGACACTACACGGTTAAAAATCTCGGTTTTAATTTTAAACTTTTGGGATTATATATATGACCAAACTAAATTCAGTTTCAAATACAAACCTTCCAAGTTTAAAAAAACAGAGCCCATATGTTGGGTTTAGAATTTAAACAGTTCGGTTTAAATGTTAAACCCAAACATTTTCACAATTAAGAATAAAAAAAAAATCTTAAATTTCATGCTCCGTCTGATGGGGACTGAACCCGGACAGCCTTGGTAGCAACCAATTGTATCAAGCATCTTTGCACACTCAGCTACAGCCACACATGTAAATGCTTTCATATGTTGGGTAAGAATCAACACCACATTTCGCTGTGTGCAAACATTTTCCATTTCGGTTTGGNATTGTATCAAGCATCTTTGCACACTCAGCTACAGCCACACATGTAAATGCCTTCATATGTTGGGTAAGAATCAACACCACATTTCGCTGTGTGCAAACATTTTCCATTTCGGTTTATATTTTAAACCAAAATTTCTATATATGAAACTTAGAAACTAGAATTAAAACATTTTGGTTTGATTTTTAAGCCGCGAAATTTTTGAACTAAAATTTAAACCAGAATATATTAAAAATTGCTTAAAACTATTGACTGGTTTAAGAAGTAGACTATAAAAGATTAAAAAAGGCAATACTCCCAGCGCGGTTTAGAAATTAAACCCAAATTTTTAACCGTGTACAAGACACCTTAAGTACCTCCCCGCGCATAAAGACATTAAGTGAGGGCAAGTTTAGCAGTGCATTCAGAGCAGCCCCAGTTGTAGGGAAATTTAACGTACCCCTCATGCCGACCGTTGTTTGAAGTTTAGTAAGCCTTAATAATGTAATTAATGTCCCTTAGATCTGTGAATTCCTGCCATTCGACAATCCTGTGAATCTGTAAACCTCATATTCCTCCGAGCGTTTGACTGAGGCTTAGCTTCTTCACATTCCATCAGATAGCATATCGNAAACATTTTGGTTTGATTTTTAAGCCGCGAAATTTTTGAACTAAAATTTAAACCAGAATATTTTAAAAATTGCTTAAAACTATTGACTGGTTTAAAAAGTAGACTATGAAAGATTAAAAAAGGCACTAGTCCCAGCGCGGTTTAAAAATTAAACCGAAATTTTTTACCGTGTACAAGACACCTTAAGGACCTCCCCGCGCATAAAGACATTAAGTGAGGGTAAGTTTAGCAGTGCATTCCCAGTTGTTGTAGGGAAATTTAACGTACCCCTCATGCCGACCGTTGTTTGAAGTTTGGTAAGCCTTAATAATGTAATTGATGTCCCTTAAATCTGTGAATTCCTGCCATCCGACAATCCTGTGAATCGGTAAACCTCATATTCCTCCGAGCGTTTGGCTGAGGCTTAGCTTCTTCACATTCCATCAGATAGCATATCGATATAAAAACATATCAAAATTATATCGATAAAAATGTTTGTCGATTACTACAGTTGTCGATTAACAAACACGATACGAATAGCAGAACCAATCGATGAGCATATCGTAAATATTATCGATAAATGTATTGATAAATAAATCGATAATAATATCGATAAATATATCGAAAATATATCTATCATAAAATACGTCAATAAATGATGTATTTATAATTTTTTTTTATGTGACTTCGACTTTATAAATTTTATATGCTTGCAGCAGTTGCTTCCTCTCGCCTTATGAAAATAGATATGTTTTTATTTATTTGAAAAAAAAAACCGTCAAGCAATGCATAAGAAACGCATAACCAAGCTGAACTTCACCATGAGAAATAACAATATAGCGCTGATGATAAGATTATGCAAATTGGCCACGCCCACTTCAATACGGGTACTATTTTCACCCAGACAAAATGCATTGAATTGTCACAATTTCACTTCTAACGGCTGCCAAGTTTGCTCCGGCCGCTGTTTATGCAAAACGTATTAGTTTATTTGTTTAGTTGTTATTATAATTTTGACACCATTCTTCTGTTCCATATACATCTGTACAAGCAAGCAAACAGACGCCAATAATACAAGAAAGTCTCTTGAGCACAATCAGCATATTTGCTGGCGCGAAAGTTTCGCCTACAGTTGTGAATTCCCGTGTGGAAGCAAGCGCGCGAGTGTCTCAAAGGCAAGAAAGAACATTTAGAAAAGCTAGGATAATAAAACTTAAAGTGTCGAAGCAGTGGAGGAGGAATTCCTTACAGCTTTCTTGTTTGTTATCCATTGTCAGCGCACACTTATCGCATACACGCCCCCGCACGTCCCAATACTCATCGCAGGCATTCGGTGTTTGGTAAGTTCTTGTAATTTTTTTTATGAATTTTTTTATTTTCTTCAAACTTTCACCGTTCTCCATTTTTGTTTCTGATACCATTTGAATTCTTCGTGTCACTGGTGCTGCTGTCTGTAAACATTCCCGTAGGTGCAATATTACTTATTTCCTCTTCATTTCCATATCAAATTGCCAGATCCTAATTTCTTTACTTGTTTCCCTACGTTGCTTTGTCGAGGAGGCAAATCTGCTAACGAATGGACTTTATACTGTTTATGCTGAATGAAGAGTAAAACTGTAGTGGATTAACTTTTATATTAGTCTGTTAAATCGCGAAAGATATGAAGGAACAATATATGAATTGCCATTAACTCTGCGATCTGCTTCAGCCGTTGAGATGTCCATGTTTTCTGTATCTATAAATAAAGTTTCACCTTCTCCGGTAAAGATACTATTACGCATTTTCCTGAATAAAAGTGCAGGTTCCACAATAGTCGTATACTTAGTATAGTACTTATAGAATATACGAAATCTGCAGCAGGTAGTATCGGAGCCTGCGGATATGGGAGACTAAAATTAATAACGTATGCTTAGAGGACTCTGAAAACTTTCCCATACAAACCATTAATAGACTAAAAGCTTAGAGAGAGCGCCTCCGGGCTGGTTTTTAGACGATTTCACCTTGCCATCCTCTAAACAGCTGAGGATTAGGGAACCTAGGGAGATCCCTTAACTTCTTCTGCTGGTTGTCGCCAAGCATTCCAAGAGTAACCCACATTTAGCAAAAGATACACTCACTCTCGCTCTTCTCGTCAAAACCGCCCCGAGGGTGGCTAGTATTCCAACTTGTTAGCCGCACAGTTTTCTACAACATCACCGTTATGAATCTGCCCAAGAAATACTCAGTCGTGACCGAAAGAGATGCCAGGCACTATCGGTACTAGCTAAGCAAGTCCAATGCCCTGATCGCCACTTGCCTATCAGAGTAGATAGTTTATTTCTTTGTCGACATTTCACAGCTAGAGAGTCTATCGACTGCTTTCTTACTGACAGCTATCTCTGCCTGGAAAATACTGGAAGCCTTAATTTAAGGTCAGTGGAGGATGACGTGTAGAATAGGTCTCACGTACCCTTACGCCAATTTTTGATCCATCCATACAAAATCTTACTTGCGTCTGTTTCCAACCCGTGCCCCCGTCCAATCATGCCTAGGGAAGATTTGAGAGTAGAAAGAGTAATTTGTGCCAGCCAGGCCATGCAGTATTCCATTTTATCAGGTATACAATTTAAACCTCCAAACATATTAAAGGGTTCAGACCCTAGATCATGCAATTTTAAACCTAACAGGGTGGAAGTGATCCCGAAGAACTGATTCCAATGAGGGCAGTCTCTTTCCCGTGATCCAGCTATCTGATTACCGTATTCTTTTGTAGCACATTCCACCTGATGGAGTCTGGGTAATTAATTTAGGAGAGAAGCTGAATCTTTTACCAGTTGCCTCTCCCATACATCAGATACTTCTTTCTACTCAGTTTAGATTTCCGTGACAGATTCTTATTTAGACTCAAGCTTACGTACTTTCTCCAATCGGAAAGCACCTCGTGAATGAGTATATTGTCCTTCCTAGTGAATAAGACGAATTTATAGGGAGCCCACTGCAGTGCACTGTTAGTAAACCATGGTAATCCGGTTAAAATAATTCAAGACCAGACCACAAAAAGTCTCCATAAATTTACACCTCTCTAAGAAGGCATTGGCGACAGCCTCTCTTCTCTAGCGACTCCAGCAGGTCGTAAACGATCACAGTCAGGGGTTAGGGGATTACAACTTTGCGGCGTAGCACTACCCGTGAGTCGCCTTCGACCCCAACCTTAGGTAAGGATCTGACGATTCCATCTTAAAGGATATTAATAAAAGCCCTTCGATGTCGAAAAAGGTACCCACTGTGAAGTCTTTATATAGAAAGGCAAACGCGAGGGATCCTGCTTCTATTATGCAGATATAGGTCAAAACGTTTACGTTACTTTTTTCATTCTTTTTATTTACGGTTTACAAGCGCAATCTCCATATTAGCTTCTGCAACTTATTTAAAATTAAACTAATCTAAATGTAAATTAACTACTCACATCGGCTAGAAAAACCCCAGAAAATACTCAGCTATCGAGTCGAATTTGACACTCTCCATCGGACTGGCTAATCTAAGGCACCTTTTATGGCCTGAAATATTCAGCTGCGGCCGCTCGACTCGCTTCATTTCCAGATTTAGATGAATCTATCGTTGCCCCAGGTACTTTAGAATACTCCCCAGCTGCGGCCACATTCGCTTTCAGTTCCTGGCCGTTTAAGTTCTGAAGCCCCACAGGTGCCCTAAAATACTGCACCGCAGCGGCTAAGTTATCCTCGTAGGCGGTTCCATCGTTCGCAGCGTTTCTATAAATTTTCGGCGCTTTAAAATATTCGGCAGCTGCCGCACGTGCAGCCTCAATTTCGGAAAACCCTTGCCGTGACTGAGGCGCTTTGAAATACGCCAAAGCTGCAGCGAACTGCCTTTGCTGTTTGTCTGCTTCTGGCGCTTTAAAGTACTCAGCGGCGGCGGCTAAAGTTGCCTCGTAATTGTCGCTGCTATTGAAGTAGTCGATGGGCTCTTCATCGAGTGGAGCTTCTACAATGTCTTGATATGAGTACTTTCGCAAAACAGCAGCTTTAATGTGGCACAGGCAGGCAGCTGTGACGATCAGTAGCAGCAACAGTCTCATATTCTTTTTTTTGCTTTGTCTAATGATTTTGCGTGATTTTCTAAGTTTACTGTTCTGCTTAAATGCTTTATTTGAAGTGATGCCCTGCTAGGTTTAATTTAAATACTAAACGCGAACTCATCACACTATTTTCTAGTTGTTCTTAGAAATGTTCACGTGTTTAGAAATCTATCAAGCGTTACATTGAGTGATTGCAATTTTCAATGAAAGTACTAAAACGTAAGATCATTAAAAGCAAATTAAAGGTCTACATATTTTTTTCGATTGCATTGCGTCGCATTGCCTTTTCGTTTATAAGGCGAGTTTGTTAGAGTGGGTCGAAAACTTTTTATTATTTTTTGCTTGAACTTTTTAAAAAGTAAGAATTTGTTCTGGGATGATAGAAAGCGATCAATGAGCATGAAGGGCAAAGAGGGTCGTCCTCTCGTTTACGGTTGTACAAATATGCTTTGAAAAAGTCATGAATGGTTAGTAACTGCTTGAAATGGTAATTTAGGAATCCATTATTGCGCGCTTACTCTGCTAGGAATTAGCCTGTAAGTCAATTTCTCTTTGCGGATGGGTCTGATCTACTTTGCCACTCGGCCAAATTCTTGAGGCGTGCATTTTTTTTCTCGCTAACTATTGCTGGTCCCGTTTATCCTCACTGCCTGTTTAGCAATCTTTTTTAAATGCTCTTGAATTTCATTTTAAAGTCGATGAATACTCCTAAATACCTAATATGCTGCTGCGAGGATATCTAATGAGCTTCCCTATTTTGACCGGCGACATCCACCTTTGTTAGTTACAGAAAAGTGTTCGGACCACTGAAACTCGTTTCAGTAGTAAATCATTCGAAAAATCGCAGTAAAAACAAAATTTTCGTAGTACATTTGCATCTCTTGTTTTCGGTAGCGCATTTAAGGAAACATTTTTCATTTTCTGTGTAAGAACAGTTCATGTCTTCAGACTTTCGTTGACTTAATTTACATAATTATCTTTCAGTTCTCTTCTGATTAATTTAAATTTTCAAACTAATGAACGCTATGTGAACAATTTTGTTCTCGCTTCCACTCTTCGTGAATAGTTCAGAGAATATTTGTTCCCATTCCGTTTTCTTTCAGAGAGCACCTGATACTTTGGTTCCCAACTTGTTCTTCGAGAGAAAATTCCTTAAACTTTTGTTCCTAGTTAGTTCCTTCCCAGAATGCTCCGGAGGCTTTTGGTCCCCATTTTGTTCTCTTAGAAATGTTCCACAAAGTTTTGTTCTTATATATGTAATTCTCATTGAGAAAATTCTCGGCAGTTTTATCCCCATTGTGGTTTCCGTTCTTTGAAGTGTTCACGAGAATAAAACTACGAGTTTCGAAAAATCGGAGCAGGTTTTAGGCCAAGCAGAGTAAAAGAATACATTTTATAGTTTTTCAAAAACCGTTGTAAAATCCGAACGCTCTTACAGCCCGCTTGGAGGAGGTCTAATCGTTTCACTACCACTACGAACGGACGAATCACAAGCGGCTGCTTAGCCGACTATTTTACAGTTTTCAGGTATGCCAATTATTAGAACACCGTCACGTGAGAATATGATAGCCTTATAGTCGTGATTGTTATCAATTCGCGGAATGGAAAGCATTTTTAACGTTCATCACTGCATAAAATTTCCTTCCTTATTGTGCACTAGTAATAGCATCGTGGACAATCTTTTTCATAGTTTTGATCGCGTCTATACGTTTGCGAAACTAGTTGTTGGAAATTTCATTAAGAATCCCTGAGAAATTGCTATGCAATGCGTTGGATGATTTTACCTACAGGGTTAGCAAAATTATAGCCGAAGGATGCTAAAACTGGCTTCCGAAGTAAAATTAACTCTGTCGTTTTGTTGCCAGACAAAAAAAAAGAAAGTATGCCTCAGGAAACTCATATCTGTTAAAGCCAAAAAGAATACACTGGTATACAAATTATTCACGCATGTGTTTTTTGTTAAAAGAAACAGAACAGAAATAATTTACTTGAGTGCTAAAATTTTTGCTGATTGAACAGCAAAGGTGAAGTTTTGCATTTTTTTGCCGCCATCTTTACTCCAGCAAATGCTGATGGTTCCTGAGCGATTCTGGCAAGCGTGCGTAAAATATTTTGTTCTATGACCCGTGAGATGTTAGTCCTTTTGTGTCTGCGTCTGCGGCTACAACCAAAGACCTATGCCATATCCTTTTATCTCTCTTACAAAATCGATCCAGCCTAATGTTCAATTATTTTCCCATGAGTTTCTTATCAGTAAATTCATATACATACTTACTTTTATAAACATGCATTAGTTCATACATATGAACATAGCTGTATGTACTATAATGCATTCGCTGAATTGATTGTGAGACAATTATTGCGCAGCTTATCAATTTAAAGGCCAATATTGATTTATTGAAAATAAATACGTATGTATGTACATTAGACTGCATCACTCCCCATACAAAAAAATCTTTACTATTTTTCCATTGGAATTATAAAATATATTATATTTTAAGACGTCCACTAAAATATTTCGGAAAAATATTAAGATTTAAGTGAGCTGGACCGATTTGAAAATGGAGTTTTTATGAATAAAAATAGTTTCTTAAAGATTTTTTTTGAAAAAATCCCCTCAAATGGCAAAACGGTTAAAGCATAAAAAATTTGCATAAAAATATTTAAAAAACAATTTAAAAAAAAATTGAACGGAACGGTAATGATGAGTTTTTTGATGCTGTTTTTTAACTTTTTTCAAAGATTGATATAAGAAAAACTTGAATAACTGAACCTAAACTCTTCCGATTTAGACTTAAGAGGTGTCATTAGAAAGGTATTTTCTCACCCTTTTTCTTTCTCAAAGGGCGAAAGAGAAAAGAAGGATGAACGAACGTCATTCAAAGTTGAATTAAGATGTGTTGGTGTTGAAAAAAAAAAAATTGGGACACGAATCACTTTTTTTTGGACAGAAATGGTGTGAAAATACCTTTTTACTGAGATCCCATAAGTCTAAATCAGAATAGTGTTGGCCCAGTTATTCAAGTTTTTCGTAAAGAAATCTTTGAAAAAAGTTATAAAAACCGCATCAAAAATCTCATTCTTACGATTCCGTTGAAAAGATTTTTAAATATTTTTATGCAGATTTTTTAAGCTTAATCTGTTTTGTCATCTCAGGGGACTTTTTTCAAAAAGTTCTTTAAGAAACTATTTTTATTCATAAAAAACTCCATTCTTGGAGGTATTTTAAAATCGGTCCAGCTCACTTAAATCTTAATATTTTTCCGAAATATTTTGCTGGACGTCTTAAAATATAATAAATTTTGTAATCCTGGCGGAAAAAGCGCAACATTTTTTGGTGATGCAGTCTAATGTACATACATATGTAGGTATGTATGTACTACATAAATTTGTTATATTGAAAATTATTTTTAGCATTAATTACAAATTCTATGTAAAATGCTATTTTGATTGGGAACTGATTTAATTATTTATGGTACTGGTTCAGAAGGCGCAGCAGTTGAGCGCAACCGTTGCTAAAAAAATCAGTGATCGTAATGCGTCTTCTGAACGGCTTGATACGTTAGCTGTCAAATTCAACAACACACAACATGTTGTCTCAAATGATCAGAAACAAATTACGATCATCTAACAAGCAACTGTTCGCTTGATCAGAAGTACACAACAATACGTTCAGAAGGTGCAATTGCAACAGTTACTGAGCTGTTACGCCTTTTGAACGTGCCCGTTAGCACATTTGATACATTTTTTCTACTTATGCATTCAATTCAATGTTTAATAGCAACGCCAAGATTATTATTCTGAAACGAAAAAACTCTTTGTATTTCTGTAGGAGACCATCACGTCAACAACATATTTGTTCTGATCAAATATATGGTCTGAGACGTATGTGTGAGCTCTTCTTCTGCCTACAAATGACCATAGCGGATATTTGCACAATTGTTTCATTCTGAAAATTTTCTTATTAAATTCATATTAAAAATTCCTTCGTGAAACTGGCTATAAGAATTTCTCTTTGACAAGATTGACAAGACATTTTTCCCCATATTGTAAGTAGTTTTTTATATATGTACATACATACATACGTGTTTTAGGTTGTTTCAGTTTTATTGAACTTATTCCCTAATAAAAAAAAATGAATTAGTAATAAGGCAACCCTATTCTAACAGCCAATTTCGCGAAACCAATTTAAGTGAAAAGTGATTTGAATTTTTTTAATTTTATGTGGTTTATGCTGGTGAAACCGGCTGTAAATCTTTTTACAACATATGCATACTAAAAATAATAGTTTTTATGCAAATCCCAAATAAAATATGACGCCCCCGGGTGGGCTCGAACCACCAACCTTTCGGTTAACAGCCGAACGCGCTAGCCAATTGCGCCACGGAGGCGTTCAAGCCAAGTCTGTAATCGCAGGCTGTGTAAGCAGATGGAGCAAAGCAATAGCAACTATGTAGAAAGAGAATGGCATCGCTTGGAAAAACGATAAAAGTAATATACGTGCTTACAGATGCGGGCTCAGTAAATCTCTAAGAAAAAAGTTAGAATGAAAAGCCTTTAGCCATATAGGCAGGTTATATCGGACATATATATACATGAATGCACATTAGGGTGGCCCAAAAAGAGTAAAGAGTGCTCTCACCCCCTACATCGAAAAAAATATACGCGTATTTTTTATTTTGAAATCAAAAAACATTTAGGGCTGGTTTCTCCAAACTCAACTTAACTTAGTTAAGCTAATTTTCTTGACTTAGTCATGAATAAGCTGTGTAAAACGTAGGCTAACTTTTGACTTAAGTCCAAAAAGTGGCTAAACTAAGTTAAGTTGAGTTGGAGAAACCAGCCCTTAGAGGTCACTCAAAGCGTTCAAAGTTTCCAATGGATTTTATATGGGAACAAAAAACAAATTTTCGTGGAAATAGTAAGGAATTCTTGAAAATCAATATTTTTCCAGACTTCCAGTAATAATAGCCAAATTTTATTGGTGCCCCCATTGCACTTTCTGGGCTTTTTGCGGATGTATAAATTATAGTTACTATGCAAAAATGGTTAAATAAATAATCGGATATTATTGTAGGGAATATCCTACAGAGAAGTAGAGTTTTCCGATCCAAAAATATTCATGGTTAAGAGTTCTATACCATTTCTAGGAAAAGTTGGTTTTTCCCATATAAAATACATTGAAAAATTTGAGCGCTTTGAGCAACCTCTAAATATTTTTTGATTTCAAAATAAAAAATAGGGTTATATTTTTCGGTATAGAACAATCATAGGGGGTGAGAGCAAATAAATTCCGACCTCACTTTCTCTAATGCATTTTTGACTGCTCTAATGCACAGTATCTACATAAATATATATATATATATATATATACATACATATTTATGCGTGTATATGATTGATTTCTGTCCGAGTCATCAGATCTGCACCGTTCGTTCGATTTTCGTAAATGGTGTGTCAAATATAGGGCTTGACTTGTAGATGTGCAACAAGGTTTTACTTTTTCGAAGAGAGTTGCCAGCTGTTAACAAAAAATTAAATTTACATTTTTTTAAGAATTGAAAAAGCTATTACAATATGGGTATCAACCGAAATGATTTTTAAAGGAGAGTTGCCACTTAATAAAAAAGTTGAATTCAACTTGAATTAAAAGAATAAGGTAATTGAAATAGAAATAAGGCAATTCAAGCAAAAGAAGTTTAAGAAGGTAGTATTTTGAAGAGGTCACCTGTTTTGTCAAATTTAGTTATCGTATACACAAGTTACATAAAATATTATGAAAGCTTTAGCTATAACATTTAGACTCTTTTGTGTTTGAAGAGGGTTGTCATCTGTTAGAAAAGTTAAACTAAATTTCTTATTAAAAAATTGGCATGTATGGAAATGTACATATGTACATATATAATACACGAACACATTTTTCTTGAAGCACATCAGATTTGCAACGTTATTTCGAATTTCCAAAATGAGATGCAAAATTAAGAAACTGGGCCGCAGGTGTGCAATAAGGTTTTATTTTTTGACATTATTTTTTTTTAGCGGTACGGGGTGATTTGAAATTCCATGAAATTAAAAACCGACACCATGCGTGAACTCTCATCAAAAGTTCTACACATATCCCTAAATATATATACTAATTTTATTACTGATAAGAATCATTCACAATAAATTTTTACACTGAGAAAAAATGAATCAAAAATTGGTTTATATTACCAAATTCAAAGGAAAAGGAATCAACGAGATTTGATTAACAATGCCATGGTTGACATTTTCAAAAATGATTTGGTAGTAAACCAAACTTTTGGTTGTCGATTTTTTCGTTTAAATTCGCCCATGTTCTGCACTTCACAGATGCTTTTTCATAATTCGGAGATGCAAAACAAAAAATTTTATTATCAATTGATTACGTTGCCTCTGACGGGGTTTGAACCCGCATCTTCTGAAAGTTTGCAAATAATTGCAAGCATCTTTGCACACTCAGCTACAGCCGCTTAATAAATGTCTCGTTAAATGTTCTACTTGTATCAATTTTCCCCGTCGTTTCATTTGGTTCTGCACTTCACAGATGCTTTTTAGTAATTAAGGAAAATCAAAAACTTAAGAAAAAATTAAGTGTTGCGCTGACAGCATTCGTACTCGAACCTGCTGGAAGCCAACAAGTTACAGCAAGCTACAGCCAGATATACGAATTTTTGTTAAATGTTCGACTTCAATCACATTTCTTACAACCGGTGTATTAACCATGAAAGAACCAAACATTGGGCCTTATGAATAAAAACTAAGCAATTGATTTTTCTTAAAATTTCAGACTTTTTACTCTATTTCTTCAAAAAAATTTAAGGAAAAGGTCTAAAATTTTAAGAGTAAACAATTGCTTATTTTTTTATTAATAAGGCTCATTAACTTCTTTGGGGAAACCATTGCACTTTTGGCTCAGGGCAAAATAAAAGTTTAATTTTTTTTTTTAAATAACAAGTAATTTTTAAGCAAAAACAAAACCGACTTCATTTATCATAGAAAAATTATGGGACCACCACGGAGACACTACCTTTCCGATAGAAGATGAACTATCGAAATCGGTTGACGTGGTCCCAAGTCATGCGGGAATATACAAAAAAAAAATAATAATATTCCGACGAATTGATAACCTTCTCCTTTTTTAAGTTGGTTAAAAATGAAATTTATTTTCAACCTAAAATGAAATAGTTTCATGACATAAGCGTTTTCAGAGTATCTCATTTTACAGGGAAATGTTGATTAAAAACAAGCTGAGCTTAAAAATCAAAAACCAAAAATTACATGCACACATATGTACGTATACATAAAATAAATACGTTACTGATTAAATATACAGTTGATCGATTCGGATTGATGAGCGTCTATCTCGTTATTGCTAACCCAATTGTTAGGCACTTTATTGCCTTACTGCGTGCGTAAGATTTCTGGTAAAAATTCTTAATAAAAATGATTGGTGTAAAATTCAAAAAACTGATAAGGTACGACTGCGATACATTTCTAAAACTCACAAGTTCTATTTGAGCTCGAGTATATAAGAACCTCAATGCATCTATTAAAGTATACAAAGTAAATATTCCAGTCATCTATTAAACACTATTCAGTAAGTCACAAATCCAGCAAATATGAAATCAACCACCAGCTATTGCATCCTAGCCGCAGTCCTGTTCTGCCTTTGTGTCTCGAATACAGAAGCCTTCGGTCGCAAAGCTAAGAAACTCAATCCGGAATTGGAGGCGAAATTCGATGTGCTGACCGCTTGGATTGCTTATCGTCTCAACTTGAAGCATGCCAAGGAAGCTTGTATAGGCGAGTATGGTTTCACTGATGAGCTTGCCACCAGCCTAGTAAAAGTACAAGTGGCGAGCCCCAGCGACCGTGAGAAGTGTTACGTCAATTGCCTCTATACGAAATTGGTCTTCTACAACAATAATCAAATTAATACGCAAGCGATGAAGGAATCCTTAATTGAAATTGTGGGTGAAGAACGTTTATTGCAGATCGTTAATTCATGTTTGAATGCTGGAGGCACTAATGACTGTGATAAGGTGTATAAGTTCCATGCTTGTGCCTCGCCCGAATTCGATAAGGTGCGTGGAGACATCTTCCAACCTGATGAATAAACTTTTTATTTTTAAAGTAAAAGCATTTATTTAAAATATATTAGTTTAAGATTTTTTATACGGAAATTGTTAATCACAAACAGTATTCTAGTTTGGATTTGGAGACACAAATAAACATCTAGATTTTGGCTGAAAAAAATATATGTACGCATGCACACATTTAATTTGAAAATAGGTTTTAAAGGAGAGGCTTATATGGTACGATATTTTTCTGACTATTCGCTGTGGTAAAGGCTGATAGAATTTTTAATAAAAGCTCCCGCAAATTAGGTACAATTTAAAATTAAATTTTCCGTCCATGGTGGAATATCAGCTGTAAAAGAGGACCAGAAGCAAACAGCTGATTACGATTTGTTCAATAAACATACCTTAAAGTCAAAACTAAATATATTCAGCAGGGTTTGATGAAACAATTCTTTCAATTACCACTCAATTAAGCTCTAATCGATCAATTGAAATTTTGATCGGTAAATCGAGCTCAATTAGCGCCTTAGTCGAGAAAGCTTGGCCGATTGCTCTATTAGAAGCCAGTCTGAACATAAGTATGTACTTTAAGACTGCCACTAAAAAACCCCAAATAAACTAATTCTGCACTTTAAGCTATATATATAAATTTGTCCATTAGACCAAACCACTTTAGGAGAAACAAAAAACAGTTCGCTGCACACCTTCGTATCCAAAGTATTTTAGGCAGGTAATTTGGATTTTTTTTGCTGAACATCTTATATTTTTTGGTGACACCTATATTCGAGAAATTTTTATTTTTTTTAACTAGTTCAAAATACTTTCATAGCCAAATTTCCAATAATTTTTGGCGAGCTTTAACTTGCTGACATTGGGTTAGTACATAAGAGTGGTAGGATCTAAGATCTGGTGGGTAAGTACTACAACGGAGTACTTGAGGTCGGTCAATAAACTTTGGAACAAAAAAAATTTAAGAACCGACTTTAAACGTTAAAGCTTTGGCGAAAAATGTAAAAAAAAAAATTGAAATTTCCTTGCAAAAATGACATAAAAAAATAAATTTTGAGTTTTTAGAAAAATTTTGAATATGCAGTTTTATAGACCATTAAATTAAAGTGCAAGTTTAAAGTGTCTAAGAGTTTGCGTTGAGTTTTAATAATATTTTTTTCGATAACGTTTCGAGCACATCTGCATGCTAAAAGTGTTCTTACGCGAAAAAAATATTAAAAATAAACGCGAACTCTTAGACACCTTAAACTTGCAATTTATTATACCAAACTTTAATAGTCTATATGATTGTAAGACCGCATGTCAAAAATTTTTCTAAAAACTCCAAAAAAAAAATTATTTTTTGTAAAATTTTTTTTAAAACATTTAAAATTTTTTCCCTACAGTTGTTTTAAGCTAGTTTTTATTTTGTAACATTTATTAGTTAAGCATTTCATTCATACTAACAAGAAGTTCGGCCTTAGCTTTACAACTTCGTTACAAAAATTTACTGCAAGTGAAAAACAAAACCAACCTTAAGCGAACCCATACAAGTTACTGCTCCAGAATTAAGAAAAACAGTTTCAAATAATTAACTTTTAATTTTTTATTTGGTTTAAATAATTTCATTCGACTTCTACTTAATACAATTTCCTTAGCCTTAATACTTCTTTACTCTCTAGGCACCTCCTTGCTAGTCTTCATTCATTTCATTCATCCGGCAAGAAGATGTCACCACGCACCTTATCGAATTCAGGCGAGGCACAAGCATGGAACTTATACACCTTATCACAGTCATTGGCGCCTCCAGCAGTCAAACACGAATTAACGATCTGCAATAAACGTTCTTCACCCACAATTTCACTCAGCGATTCCTTCATTGCTTGCGTATTAATTTGATTATTGTTGTAGAAGATCAACTTGGTGTAGAGACAATTGACGTAACACTTCTCACGGTCACTAGGATTCGCTACTTGTACTTTGACCAAACTGGTGGCCAGTTGATCCGTAAAGCCATATTCGCCTACACAAGCTTCCTTGGCATGCTTCAAGTTGAGGCGATAAGCAATCCAGGCGGTCAGCACATCGAATTTCGCCTCCAATTCTGGCTTGAGTTTCTTTGGCTTGCGAACAAAGGCGTCTGTATTGGTGGCGCACAGGAAGAAGAGGATTGTGGCCAGAATGCAGCAGCTGATGGTTAGCTTCATATTTGTTGGTTTGAAGAATTACTAAAAGGTGTGTAGAGTATGTGGTTGATTAGAATACTTTTGTTGGACTGTATGCCTTTCTTGTTGGATGCAGCTTCTTTATATACTGAAATTACAAGTGGGTATATCCCAAATAATGTCTTATCAATTTTCTTAGATGCAGAAGCTATAAAATACTACACTAACTGCAAACATTTGTTATCACGTTCTACCAATGCAGTTCGGCGCATTGCTTGATTTTGTATCAGTTATCTCGTAACTAGTTCAAAGAACTAAGCTTCCGAGGCATGAGCTTTTATTGTACTACATATTTCTAGTTTACTGTGTGCTCGTATGTCAATGTGTTTTGCAATTACAGAGATTAATTTCACTCAATGCCACTACTCGTTTAATCTATTCAGTGGTTATCAGCCAGATTTCATTGCTTACATTTCCAGGTAAAATATTTTAGAAAGGCCTGGTTATTAAGAAACTGGGAAATCCCAATGTGCCAATGCTGTTAACAATCACTGTGTTAAAATAACAGTGGATAATGAGCCCAAATACTGCCAACGTCCTAATACTAAATGCAAATGGACGCCCCAGACTGAGCTATTCAGAAGAACTCTCCACGATGAGAGCGAAATTTTGCAGGCGTATTACATCAACTAGGGATGTTAATTTGTTCGCTTTTTACGTTCCCGGGATATTCGGGATGTCGTTATCACAATCTCACGATCCCAGGATTAGCCTCGGGATTTAGGTATTCATTACTTTCCAACAACTTAAATCGAAAAGTGCTCCTACCNCCCGGGATATTCGGGATGTCGTTATCACAATCTCACGATCCCAGGATTAGTCTCCGGATTTAGATATTCATTACTTTCCAACAACTTAAATCGAATCTCTAATCTCTAATTCCAAAAATTATTTAAAAAATTCAATGCAATGTAGAATAAAAATATGGGTACCAAATGAAAGAGGAAATTTCTTTAGAATTAAAAAAATTAAAATTTTTCGGATTCACAAAGACGAATACGAGTAGGTAATTTTTTAAGCTGGTAAAGTTAGAAAGGCGAAATTCGAAGATGTTCGAGTCGAGTTTATACAAGTCCTTAACTTATAATTTTTTCAAGGACAAACATTGCGGAATTTCAAGGATAAAATTTTAAAAGGACATTTTCAATACTTACCAGTCCTTATGCACCAAAAAAATTCAATCTGAGTAAATTCTATAGAATTTCCTCTTTAATTTGATACCCACCCTTCTTTTCTAAGCACATTTTACTGAATTTTTTTAAATCATTTTGGAGTTACTTACGTCACGGTGAAAAACTAAAAACGCAATTTTACTTTATTTGGCCCGTGGTTTCACGAATATATTGAAATTTATAAAAAAATATTAATTATTAAATAAAAAAAAATTAATATAGCCAATACTGGTCAAGAAAAGGAGTTTCTATTATTGCCTTCAGTGCAAATTATATAAATCCCGATAATCCCGGCATTTTTTGCCAAGAATCCCGAAATTTTTAGGACCTAAAAAAAGCCGGCAGCCCGGGTTTAACATTCCTAATATCACCACCAGATAGTGTTCTTCATGTTAGGCAGAACATGAAAAGGACCATTGGGATTTCCCTGTTGCTTAATAACCAGGCCTCTCTAAAAATATTTTACCTGGAAATGTAAGCAATGTAATCTGGCTGATAAGATCTCAATACATTAAACGAGTAGTGACAATGAGTGAAATTAATCTCTGTAATTGAAAAACACAATGGCGTACGAACATGCACATTGAACTAGAAAGAAATATGTAGTGCTTCGTGCTTCGGAAGCTTAGTTCTTTGAACAATTTATTTCGAAATAATAAATACAAAATCAAGCAATGCGCCGAACTGCATTGGTAGAACATGATAACAAATGTTTACAGTTAATATAGAATTTTATAGTGATAAGACACTATTTGGGATATACCCACTTGTAATTTCAGTATATAAAGAAACTGCATCCAACAAGAAAGGCATACAGTCCAACGAAAGTATTCGAATCTACCACATACTCTACATATACACCTTTTAGTAATTCTCCAAACCAACAAACATGAAGCTAACCATCAGCTGCTGCATTCTGGCCACGGTCCTGTTCTTTCTGTGCGCCACCAACACAGACGCCTTTGTTCGCAAGCCAAAGAAACTCAAGCCAGAATTGGAGGCGAAATTCGATGTGCTGACCGCCTGGATTGCTTATCGCCTCAACTTGAAACATGCCAAGGAAGCTTGTATAGGCGAATATGGCTTTACGGATCAACTGGCCACCAGTTTGGTCAAAGTACAAGTAGCAAATCCTAGTGACCGTGAGAAGTGTTACGTCAATTGTCTCTACACCAAGTTGATCTTCTACAACAATAATCAAATTAATACGCAAGCGATGAAGGAATCGTTGAGTGAGATTGTGGGTGAAGAACGGTTATTGCAGATCGTTAATTCGTGTTTGACTGCTGGAGGCGCCAATGACTGTGATAAGGTGTATAAGTTCCATGCTTGTGCCTCGCCTGAATTCGATAAGGTGCGTGGAGATATCTTCCTGCCGGATGAATGAAGTGGAAGTGAGGTGGAGGTAGACCAGCGATAAGGTGTTTAGGGAGTAGAGAAGGATTAAGGCTAAGCAAATTGTATTAAGTAACTAAAAGTTGAATGATTATATCTAAAATAAATAAAAACATTAAAACTATAGTATTTGAAAGGGTTTTTCTTAACTTTAGATCACCAGTTAGGTCTCCTTTTTAGGTTGGTTATTTTATAGTTGAAGTAAACTTTGTAAAGAAGATCTAAATCTAAGGCCGAGCTGTTTTTAAGCTTTTACAGTGAAAACGATTCTTAGTGTGATCTAAAAACAATTTAAGAAAATCTATAATTTCATCAATATCATATTCCTTTTTTACGATTTTTTTTATCGATTTTTTTACAAGCTTACCGATAAACTCCTCAGTTTTGTGATCAACGCATTTAATTTTATAATCGATGAACCGTTCGGTTTGTTATCGATATATTATTGATATTTTGTTGATGAGATTATAGCTTTTTAAATGATAAGTTTGTCGATGGTATTGCCGTCAATATATCCATCAATATCGAAATCGATGTTTTAATGGACTTTGTTGGTGACTAAACGATGAGTTGATTGCACATCCTCGAAAGAGCTGCGGTAATAGGAATCGGTGGCGATGTTATGGCGTATTGCATGTGTTCTTACTGGACAGTGATTCCTAAGGACTCCTGTCAGCAGTGGGTTAGCGTAAAAAGCTGCTTTCAACATGGCCTGCTTGCTAACATTGGCCCTTGCATGTTAGGGTTTTTCGCTTTGAGCTCCCGGCGCCGACACACACTGAAACACAGAAACTTGTATGTATGTATACTCTCTCTGTCCAGCAATGTATTCTCGATTGTATCTGCTAAGCAAGTTCATCAGCCTTGCACTCACGTTCAAACTCGCTTTTCCCTAGTACTCGAAATCAGCCTAATGTAGAAGTTTTCGGGAGCGATCCTTGTACACTGATTGCAGCTTGGCTATCAGAGTAAATCTTTAACTTTTGGTTAGTATTACATTTTACGTACCAAGTCGTCAGCCTCTCCTATATAGCGGTCACTTCAGCTTGAAATCATCTGCAGAAATTTGCGGGCCTAAAATTGCGATTTGCGGACTCTAGATTACAGAACAAATCTTCTCACACTCTACGCTCCTCTGTCCTAGAGGACTACTTTCCTTCAGTCACTCTCAGGTAAGAAATCGAAGCTTCAAAAACTCATCGAGTCGCCTTATGTTGGAGGAGAGATCACTGATCATGATAAGAGAATCGTGTCTAGTGACGATGTATATGTTTTCAAAATATTAAAGCCATTACAGCGAGCACCGTTAGTGTTGAATGACAAACTAGGAAACACGATAACTACTCCGCCATTAGACTCCACTAAAAATTAAGTGTAATAGCGGTGCGAATGACAAAGTCTGGTAAATAAATTCATATCAAAATTTTACTTTCTCCAGCTTGCTGCGTCTACGCACAGCGACCGACTAATTACAATTTATTTGACATATGAATCCTGTTTCCTACACACGTACACATACATACAGCTTTGGTGAAAGAAAGCGAACTTACGACGGTTATGTCTTTGTCGAGAATCCTTTTGAAAGCACATAAAATGGCATCATTTGACATTTACCATCGAAAGACGTCTGCGGAACGTGTAATACTGCGATGGTAGTAGTGTGAGCCTGGCAGCCTGGGCAGGAGGGAGGAGTAGCCGGAAGAATTTTTGGCTGACTGCCTTAGTGTGTCACTCAATTGTTATTGTGTATTTTGACCGTAGCTTCGCTAAGAGAGTGAAATTCGACTAAGCAGTGTGTTGGAAAGCTAGAATACCAGCTGTCGGTTAAAGAAACAGCGTTAGCTTGGTGAAAGGCGGCATGGAAGGAGATTGACGCGTTGAAGCGCAGCATAGGGTCGTCACGGTCTTGCTCAGCAACGCATACGCACACACGCACTGCGTTGTGTGGCGCACCATTAACGTTAATAAGACAGTCGAAGCTTAACCGAGTTGTTTATTGTTGGTGACCCAACACTAGCCAAAACAAACTACCACATTGACTTTGTGGCATTTCACAGACAACAACTAAGGTAGCAGCCGCCACTACTACAACTAAGTCTAAGTACAACTCCAATTTCAGCTCCTTATTTGCTGCATATCTTTTTCATTGTCACGACACGAATGGCTGAATAGTTGGTCTGCCTGCCAACCAAGATGCCGTGTTTGGCGTTACGTGCTGTGTGATTTGATTAGGGCAGATGGCAACATTAGCATTTGTGAGCGGGTGGAGTTAAGGTAGTTAGTGGAGAGGGAGTGCCTTTTATAGTGGAAAATGCGGGATGTGGATATCCGGGATATTTTTTACGGTTTGTCTATTTGATTGCCACACCCAGTTCAGCTGACTTGATTTGCTATTGGGTGTAGGACAGTGGGTAACTAAAGAATAATAGTTTTCAAGAAATGAGCAGCAGCAGTCTACACAAGTGAGTGAAGTCAAGTTGTTCTATAAAAATGGATTCAAAGATTTTTACAAAAATTTGGAAAAAAGGAATGATATATTAATTAGACAGAAAATAACATAAAGGAAGTTAAAAAAGTAGTGTAGGCTTTAAATTAAAAGAGAAAAGTTTTTGAAAAGACGTTAAAAATTA